TAATTTTGATGTATAAATTTCTTTATTTCAAAATAAAATAATAAAATAAAAGGACTAAAAGTAATTTCATTAATAACAATCATTTGATTATTCATTAATGAGTTGGAATGAATGTAAAAAAGATTAATGTAAAATTCCATATAAAATAAAGGTAAAAGATATAATGAAATATATAATGAGATGAAGTGTAGAAATATAAAAATTAAATCATGATAAATCAAAATAAATAATAGAAAGTGAATAGTGGAAAATCATCAGAGTAATAAGAAATAAACAAATCAAGTTCTATTTTTTCTTATTTTCAATGTTATTCTCTTCTTTATTTCATTTTTCTTTATAGTTTTTATCTTTATTATTTCATTTCTTTATTGATATGAATAATTTGATTTAATCTTTTAATCTTATTCTCCTCTTATTTCACTTGTTATTTCATTCTTTTTCTTTATCTTTTATTCGTCTTTCTCTCTTTAATCTGCCTAAACAAAATAACAAGATATCTTTTTATCATTTCTTCATTTATTATCTTTTTCTTTTATTTCTTTTCTTAATTTTATTTTACTTCTTATTTTCTTTTACTTCTTATTTGTCTTTAATAATTGTTTTCTTCATTTCTTCTTATTTTATTTCTTTTTATTTATCAACTTCTTTTATTATTTTTACTTCTTTTTATTTATTTCTTCTCTCTTTTTATTCATTTCTTTATTCTTTCTTTTTATTTCAAATGAAATCAAGAATAAAAAATAAGAAGAAAATAAGAAATAAGAAAAATCAAAAGAACAAGAAAATTCTATTTCATTTATTCAAATAAGAATTACATCCATCAATTTGTAAAGAATAAACTGAACATGAAACATTTAATATAAATACCACCACGAGTACCAGAATATTTTAATATAAGAAACATGAACATTAATTAATAAATTGAATAATATACGTTATAGTATTAAAACATAAAGAAATATAAAAGGAAGATAGAATAAGGAAGATAGGGAATGACAATAAACAATAAAATAAATAAAGATAATAGTAAAGAGAATAGAAGTACTATAAAATTAATAAATAAGTTTTATTAACAAAGAGAAAATTAAAGAGTTAAAAAAAACAGAGAATAAATAAGAGATATATTGAATTATCATGTACAGAATTATAAAATAGTAAAATTTATAAAAAGAATAAATATAAGAAAAAGATATAGACATAAAAGAAAGAAGAGATTCAAAGAAAAGACATTAAATAAAAAATCGATGAAAGTTAGTATATCTTATTTATCTTATTTATTTATTTTTATTACTTTTTGTATTTCAACAAATAAATTGAATGTATTAATTATTTAATTCATTATCAATTTGTGTATTATTATTATTATTATTATTTCTTTATTTCTTCTATTGATTTCAATCTTATTTTCTTTCTTATTTTAAATGTGTTTATTATTACTTATTTATATTAATTAATATCTTCTATTTAATTTCAAATGTATTAATCTTACTATTTCTTCATCTTTAAGTTAATATCATAATTTTAATTGTAATAAATTAAATGAAAAGAATTATATAATGAGAATTTATTCTTCTCTTTCTCATTATTTCATTTATTTTAAGATGATTTCATTCATATGAAGTGAAATTCTTATGTTAAAATCACATCTCATCAATAAAAATGAAGTGAGAATAATAGTATATTTTAATTTTAGAAATCATCTTCAAATGATGATATTTCAACAGTTACTAAACATTGAATTTATTCACTAATTGTGTTTCAGATGAAACAGTATAATGTGATTTAACTCTTCTTTGTTGTATAAATTTAAATTAAATAAATTAACAAACAAGAAATATAAATGATATAATAAATTATTTACATCAGATTCAATTGTGATTCAACATTGAATTGAAATAATAATATATCATTCTCTTAATTTTGAATGATTAACTGATTCTCAATTATCATCATTAATAATATAATAAGAAATGATAATTTATTAATTGTTTGTTCATTTATTTTTATTTCATTTCTTCTTTCTCTTTATTATTCTCTTCTTTCATTAAAAACATGAAATAAAAGGAATTTGATAATCTCATTATTTCAGAATTAAATGATTATTACAATATAATTATGAAAGAATGAAAAGAAGAGCAGAAATGGCATATCTTAAAGAACATTATCCACAAATATATTTCAATTTCATAAATAGGTATAAAATTTCAAACCATCAAGAAGAACAAAACGAG